TTTTGAGAGGTTTTTGCTATAGGGCACATGCACTAACCAGAAAGACAGAGACAGAGAGACAGAAAGCAAGAAATCACCCCCCAAGGGGGATGGCCACACTGCAATCTCTTCCCTTCCATTCTCCTCTTGGGATCTTGGGCACGCACGCACACTTGCCCAGCATGAGTTTAAGCCACTGGGTCCAGGACTCGAAATGTGATTGACTACATGGGAGTCAAGCAACATAGCCATTACTCCAACTGCTCGTCCCAACTTTAGTACTATTTTTAAAGTCATACAGTTATTTTGGAGAAGAAATTAGTAAGACTGTTGACTGATTAAATAAGAACAGTGAGGAGAAAGTCAGGATGACTTTAGAGTTTAGAACATTGGGGGGGGGTTGAATAATGCCATTAAATAGAATAAGTAATGTAGATTTGGGAGTAAAAATAAAATCAGTTTGTTTTGGACTATGTTTAGTTTGAAGCACTGAAAGAAAATACAGATGCTGATGTCTCACTTGCTAGATGGATTTTTAGGCAAAAATCAAGTTTAGGCAAACATATATATATACACACACACACACACACACACACACACACACACATATATATTGAGAGAGAGAGAGAAGAGAGAGAGAGGGCTTTTTGCTATAGGGCGTGTGCACTTGCTGGAGGGACAGAGAGAAAGCAAGAAATCGCCCCCCCCGGCGGGGGATTGGTCATACCACAATCCCTTCTCCATCTTCTTGGGATCTTGGGCATGCACACACATGCACCTGACATGAATTTTAAGCCACTCAGTCCAGGATTTGAACAGTGGCCGACTTCATGGCAGTCCAGCGATGTAACTATTACACCATCTGCTGGCCCCTAGACAAAGAAATTTTTGAGTCATCAACATATTGTAAGTAGATATAAACTTGAGTTTACCCAGATGACTAAAACCTCAGAAGGGATATTAGGGAACATCAGCCTTTCAGGAATGTTCAAAGAAATAAGTCCCCCCAAAAAGAATTGAGCATGAGAGTTTGGCATTATGAAAGCCAAAAGAAGAAATATCCTAGAGGGAAAGAAATGCTACCAGCATCAAATACTCCATAAATGTAGATGAAGATAAGGACTGAAAGGACTCCATTAGGTTTGGATATAGGGAGGTCTCTGAAAACTTTAGTAAAATCAGTGTCTTCAGAAGTCATGGGATAGGAATTGAAATCAGCTCCAACAATGTGGGTCTTGCTCCTTTTCAGTGATCAGATAATGTTTTACAGTTACTCAACTAGTTTGTAAGAGCACTGTCCTTTGGCATTCTTCACCTTCCTTGACAGAAGTTAGTCGGTTAGTAGAACCACAGACACTAATAGAAATGGGCCATATCCCCAACTGCATTGATACGGAAACAGAGTTGAGACCAATTATTTATAAGCAAAATGATAAACAGTGATGGACTGTTTAAAAGCAATTGGAATAATAATAATCAGGAAAAAAATGAAAAGCTATTGGATGATGATGGGGATTTTAATGTCTCGGTATTGACTGATATGCATGGTATTCCTTCTGGACAAAGCAATGTAATACACTGTGAAGTTATATGTGATTCAATGTAATATAAACAAGATTAAGATAATAAATAAATAAGATTCTCAAGGGATTAAAAGAGGGAGAAGGAAAGAATTTCTAAAATGAAACAATTATAATAATTCAGCATTGATTATATCTTTTAGGCCCCCCTACTACTCATTGTCTATTGTATTTAACAAAACTTTTATGTCCTTGCTTAAACCATAAATAAAACAAACAACATAAGTGAGCTCTGAATTCATCAACCCTGAAACTGTGTTAATAGCTTATTTACTATTTTGCAAGGGAAAGAAATAGGCAACTATTAAAAGTGAACGTTAGCATTTCATAACAGAACGCACTTCATGGCTACCAGCCAAGGATAGAGTGAAGCCCTTTTTCCATGGCAGTAAAAGTATACCATCCTCTATTGCTGCCAGGGCTAACCCTTAGACCAGTGAGTTTCAATTCAACTGTACTGCAGTTCTTTAATCAGTTTTTCTAAGAATGATTTCTAAAAATGCATATATTCACCCAGAGATAAGGAAGAAAACCTCCAGTCACTGGCTTGCCTATGATAGAAGCAGAATCTCATTTTCACAGACATCATTATAATACTCACCTGGTCTGTAGAAAGAATCTATTTTCATGTTCCAGTCAACAATCCCAAGTGGAAATTCTTTCCTCATCTGGGTAAAAAAGGATTGTGTTTGAAAAAGTTTTGAAAATAGTTCTATAAATCATTTTTCTTTTAGATATCAGTCCAGTCAAGGAGATATGCATGTATAAAACTAATTATGTGTATGAAAATAATTAAATAGGTGTACAAAATCAATGTATGAGAGTAGTTAAATATTTAGATCTTAACTTACTAAATATTTCAATAGGACATATTTTTATTGTTTATTTTTACAAAAATCTGCTTTGAGGATTTAAGGTGTTAAAATGTTTGCATATTTTATTTTGGGCATTTTTAAATAAATTATGTTTCATCATTTTTTTTTTTGGAGAGATTTCGCTATAGGGTACATGCGCTCGCAAGACAGACAAGAGAGAGACATAGAGACAGAAAGCGAGAAATCACCCCCCAGGGGGGGTGGTCACACTGCAATCCCTTCTCCTCCATTCTCCTCTCGGGATCTTGGGCACGCACGCACACGCGCCCGGCGTGAGTTTTAAGCCACCGGGTCCGGGATGCGAACCACGGTCGACTACGTGGAAGTCCAGCAACATAGCCATTACGCTAACTGCTGGTTCCCTTATGCTTGATCTTATGGAAGATACAGTTTTTGAATGGTGGCATTATAGACTGCAATGCGATTTTGAAATGTGATATTTCTCTGTGTTTTCCAAAGAATACTAATTCTGAAAGTTCATGAGTTGAGAGAAAATGATAATGTTCTATGGTCAAATAAATTTGGGAAATATTTTTCATTCTATGCTCTACTCCTAGAGTATTACATTTTGTATTAGCATGTTGAAAGATCTGAACAGCCGGGCCAGCCCCTTAGTGCAGTGGTTAAATCCTAGGCATAGAAAGCCAGATCCCCTGAGGCTGACCATGATTCAAATCCTAGTCTAGTAGCTTGATGTGCATTCATGCCCTACATCCTGACAGAACTGAGAACAGAAGGGAAAAAAAGGATTACAACGTGAACATAGCCCTTTGGGTGATGCTTTCTTATTCTCTCTCTCCCTCTCTCATTTTTTTCTCTCTCATGATTTTATGTGCCCTCTGGCAATGATAAAAATATAATCTGAGCATCCAGACAATTAAGATATAAGTTTAACTTTGCTTAAGCCAGTCTTACTTATTTGAAGCAGGAACATCCAAGAAACCCTTGCTCCAAAGAACAAACATTCAGAAATTCCCTTACAATCTGTTGTTTCAAATGTTCATTTTCAAGTCCTTACTAATTCAGATCCTCCATCAGGCCAGGATGTAGAGCCAAATCTATCAGGTTCATGAACTGATATCTCAATATGCATCAAGGGTTCAAAAATATGTGAAGTAGTTAAAAGCCAGATTTAAGGATATATTATGATGAAGAAGCACATAATTCACCTAGAGTCTAGCTTGATCCTTAAAATGAAGAGGGAAATTGGTGAGATAAGATTTCCCATCTGCTTTCTAAATAAAGTTTAGAAGAAAAGCACCTTTCATTCCTTTCTCCTTTATATTTATGAATTCCTGTTCCCATCAAGTCAGAAATAGCTTGAGAGACCCAAGAGAGAAGCTAAGGTATAAGGACTGTACCCCCAACACTCAGCATCCCGGTCTGGAAGGTACTTTACAGTGGACATAGGTCCCATCATTTTGCAGTACCAAGCGTCCCCATCTTGTCACGCCCACGTACATCCTAGAATATGGTACAAGGGAGTAACACTTTCAAATGAGACTAAATCCTGGTAGTTCTGCAATTTACAGAAAGGGCTACAGAGTGAGCATATTTCTAATTATTTATTTGATAACTAATTAGATTTCTATCTTAACACGTAATTATCTTACTTTATTTTTAACAATTTATCTATATTTTATAAATTATCAAATGGCTCTGTGATGTCCATCTAAACATTCCTGTTTTACATTCACTGGTTCACCTTTATTCATGCTCAAGTTATTATTTTCATGCTCTTTTGTGAATAGTTTAATAATGCTTTTTTTTTTTGAGAGAGAGAGAGAGATTTTTGCTATAGGGCGCGTGCACTCACCAGACAGACAGAGAGAGACAGAGAGACAGAAAGCGAGAAATCACCCCCCAGAAGGGATAGGCACGCCACAATCCCTTCTCCTCCATTCTCCTCTCGGGATCTTGGGCACGCACGCACATGTGCCCGGCGTGAGTTTTAAGCCACCGGGTCCAGGATGCGAACCACGGTCGACTATGTGGGAGTCCAGTGACATAGTCATTATGCTAACTGCTGGTCCCTAATAATGCCTTTTTTAATTAAATATTTTTGGTTGTTGTCATAGGGTGTATGCACTCATGAGAGAAACAGAGAGAGGGAGAAAGCTCCTCCTTCTGTTGGAGCGTGGCCACAATCTTCTCTTTTGTTTCTCCATCCTGTTGGGATTTGGAGCACAGATACCTGACATGTTTTTCAAGGCACAGAGGCTCAGGATTTGAACCATGGTTAGACATGTGGGATCCAGCTCTCTTAACCACTAAACTGTGGGGCCAACCCAATTATGTATATTGTTGATGTGAGTATTGTTTCTGTGCTTATTAAATTACTAAATACATTAGGTCATCGGGAAAGTCATGGTACATTTTTCTATGTTTTTGTATGCAAAAATGTGTCATGACTTTTCTGATGACCCAATAGTACAAGTAACTGAAAAAGTCAATGTAAATTTGACAATTAAACTAAAAAACTAAATTGTCTTGAAGTAATAGTTGATGACATAAATGTAGTTGATATTGCCCAAATAAAATATTAAACTGTCTATCTCCTTTACAGCCAACATATCAATTGTAGACATAGATACTAACCAGGAGGAAAACATAGCCACTTCATCTCCAGGAAACAACTTTGGTCTTGACTTGAAAGCTGATGACAAAATATATTTTGGTGGCCTGCCAACCCTGAGAAACTTGAGGTAATTTAGTGTATATGTAAAGTAAGGATTAAGTTTTAATTAAATGGCCACTGTGCTCACCAGAGTTCTGAAGTTTAATTAAAATAGGAATGTCATATAACCTTTAGTTACAGAAAGGCCTAATCAAAAAAAATCAAGTTGCACATTAGAACAACACCAGGATTAATTTGACATCATTGTGGAAGAGATGGATTGGAATCACTGTTTGCCTTATATGCACCTGCTGAAAAGAATTATGAAAGTCATTAAAGGTGGAAGTCAGAGTTGAATGTGGGTCTTGTAATTGCTGTTCTCCTTGCACATTCGCTGGAGACAATGGCACTCTGACATAGCTTAGTGTTCTGAAAATTAGTCAGTGTTCCAGGATACTGTGAGGATAACCTATTTTATTGCTAGTATTAGCATCATAATGGTGCATTGGAACTGCCCCATATACCTAATACTAAAACTGTATTAGGTATTCTCTTGCGCATGCCAATATTTTTTTTTTATTTCACATATGCTTTTTAGCTTGTAGGGTGAGGCAATATATTTAGTTCACAGCTTAGTTAATTCAAAAAAGAAATAAAGTAACTCAAAAATGTCAGAAAAATTTTTTATGCAGTACTTAATTTACTGCTTGTTTTGAAACATAAGCCATTAAATCTGTGGTGTACTTGGCACTAAATCAATGTTAATTGAATTTAATTAGAATGGGATGATCTGATTTGGTTAAACCATGAAGAGTTACTACATATATAGGCTGCTATGTTTTTATTTTTTAGCTTTGCTTTGTTTAATTAGATTGGTAGTTTTTAACAGATGTAAAAGTCTTGTCTAGGTGTTTCTGTTCTAAAAAGATTATGTTTGGGGGAAAAAAAAGTCAAAATGATCATCAACTCTAGTGATCATTTATTTTCCCAAATAGTAGTAGAACTTTAGTTTCACTGTAGGACAGCTAGTATGCAGGCTGAGGGTTCCTCTTCTCCCCGAATCTAAACTCATAGACCAGGCATCTGTCTACTCATCTTTCAAGGGTGTTAAGTTGATAAGTTTCATGGTATAAATAGACTGGCACTGCACTCACCTACATAATAACGTGTATGTGTTAGGAATATAAGTTTAAAGTATCAAGTCAGAAAAATTATTGCAAATCAAATCTATTTAAATACGAGGTAGTTGTTACTCAGCTATCCATTTATCTAATAGTCATTCAACAAATGATGAACACCTACTATGTGCCAGACACTGTACTAAACATTAGGGAGTCACCATGTGTTCAAGTCTAAGGTTTGCTTTGCAAGATTATTAATATCATATTCTGCTGAGGGAAAAGAAGCTTATTCAAACCTAACTTCATTTACTGATAATTTTAATGGCAATAAAGTGATCTTTAGACATTATCTTCAATGGTATATATATATATATTAACTTCTTTGAAAAAGGCTTATGTCTTATTTGGTTTAGAGATTATCTATCTAATGAGTCTTTATTATTGGGATGTTTTTACTTTCACAGTGTAGCATTTTATAATTATGATATTGCTATATTTCAGCAGTTTATTTCAAAATCATCTTCAGGTGTATATTTGTGATTGTTAAAAGAACCAAGTATTCATAGTTACCTGTTACTTTGCCCACAGACAGAATCTCAGTGTACTAAAGTGCAAAAGATGTGATAAATCTAGGTTACTTTCACGTATGTTGTTTCATGTATGTTGCTACAAAATAGCAATGTTTGTGCATTTCTCCTTGGTTAGATTAATAAAATAAATACTTTAAATTTTATTCTTAAATAAAAATTTTTAAGAGCATAGTATGAGAAACCATCATGTTGGGATTCTGATTTTGGTGCCTTGAAGAGCAATATGTCTCCTTGTCTATTTTCTGTTTGATAGTTTTGTCATCCTTTCCTGTGTAGATCACTATAAAATGATTACTTGTCTATGGTTAAAGTTTATTGTTTTACTAAATGAAAATATGATTGTAAGTAATGGGTTTTTTTTCTTGTTATTGTTTGTTTGTTTGCCTCTTCCCATTGAACTAGTATGAAAGCAAGGTAAAATTTAAATTTATGCATGCCCTCTTCAAGAGCATGGGTTGGGTCAGTATGGCTTCTTAGATAAAGCAGCCATGCAGAAGCAGAGCGATGCCTATGCAGCTTTAGCCACCGTACGTTTCATGAGCAAGTCATGCATTTGCAAAGAATTCTCATGCTGCCCTTTGCTTACAGAAATGCTGCTGCTTACCCACCATCAACTGGACTGCAATTTCAGTTGTTTCACTAGGCGTAAAGATAGATTTGTTTTGCTTCCTTGTGCAACCACCCACATGCAGTGCCCACTGGTGACCAGCAGCACATGCTCAAAGGGCAGCTGGGCCAAGATTATGGGCACAGTCTAGTTCTGGGGAACAGAGCACAAGGTCTCTTGGGCTGAATGAACTCTGGACTCTGTCCTTTTGGTACCACACACGTCTGCTGAACGATCAGCCTGTGCGCCCCAATGCTTCCCACTGCCTCGTTGCTTTTTGCAGGCTTGCAAATATGCAAACACAGACTTGGCCTTTGCACCTCTTGTCAAAGTTGCTTGTTTATTGTCATATTTATTTAGAATTAGCCACAGAGCCAGATGAGAGAGTCTTCTAGAAATCAACATTATATTTAAAACAAGAGTTTGGACTAAAAGTGAAGAAGTTTGTGAACAATTCCTCTAGCTTCTCAGGAGCATTCTAATTCTTAATTGCAGATTGCCATAAGCATGAAAGCTGCAGCAGAGCCGGCCTCTACACAGGGCTGATCAAACACCAGAGATGGGTAGGACAGGCACACTCCATCTAGAGCTAAAGCCTGGTGTTTGGGCATTTCAGAGCCTACATGTACCAAATTTCTGAAAAGGGCGTAGTGAAGTAAACTGTACAAATAATCATAAAAGCAAAAACTAGACCTTTAATATCAGAAGCTAGAACATACAGAAATGGCCATGTGGAGGAGGGGGAGTCGTTTTATGGGTGAGATCAGTCATACCATGTTTGCTGACATGGCTAAAAGGCATGATGAAAATACACGTTAAGAAAACTGGGATGCCACTGTGTAGCTTTGTGGATTTGTTTTGCCTCTGAGTGGTGACTCACAGGAACATAGACCTATGGTTATTACTAGGAGCCTGATCACCCCAGATTACTTAGCCTTGCTAAAACATTAGAAATGTTTGAAATAATTCTTCATATTTCCATGAAACAATGAGCTTGTGGGAGTAGTCTACTTCATTGACAAGAATGCCAAGAAAAGTATGATTAAATCAGTCCTCCCCTGAAGAAAAATAGGGAAGCAAGGGACCACCATGAATGAAATTCTCCTATTGTCTTTGCTTTGTTCAAGAAAAATATAAACACGATTCTTACCCTTCACATGGACACGTTCTTCGTTTAAAAAACCAACCTAATGAACAGAAGGAGAAAGCCTTGGGAACAAGGGAAAATCATTAAGGAAAATGAAGAGGTTTTGGGGGCAGATGGGAAGTATACATACCTTACAGGAAATAAATGACCGGGTACAAACCTCCAGGATCTAGTTAGCTTTTCTACCTATTTTTCATCATGCTGTGTGTTTTTTTTATTAAGATTAAAAAAAGACAAGTTTGGCATCACAGGATAGAAGGGAGAGAATTGTTACTGTCGGACACAATATTTTGGTATCTCTTGGACAATTTTTACATATGCTTCTTGACACCACATAAAGAAGAGTTACCTTTTTTACCCTAATATACTTTTACTGTTCAATATAATAGCCACTAGCCATGTAGCTATTTAACTGTAGATTAAATACAATTAAATAACAATAAACATTCAGTTCCTCATTAGCACAAGCTACATTTCAAGTCCCAGTAGCCACGTGTGACTAGTCTCCACTGATGTGGGAAGTGTGAGCAAAACATCCATCTTCACAGAGAGTTCTATTGGACAGCCCTGTTATAAAGACATTTTGCTACGTTATGTCCATAGAGCTCTCACTGTGTGCTGTGCTACTCATTAACGCATTCACACTTCACAGCTTGATCATAGATACTATTATTATCATGCCCATTTCACAGATAACAACAATGCGTCTTAGAGAGGTCAGATCACCTGCATGTCACATAATAAACCAAAGCCACATGCTAGACTCAAGAGCTAGGACTTCGTTTTCTAATCTGTTGTAATATTCGCCCTGTTTTAAGAAAGAGTGAGTAAAAAATAAACATTCAAGTGTAGTTTGAGTATAGAAGCCATTTCTCAATATTGTTGGAAAAAAGATTTTATTTTTACACTTGATGGCTTTATTTTGTGATTGTTCCAATATAGAATGCAGCCTTTGCAGTTGACCTATAAACCCCAATTTTAAAATATCTGTGTTAGACGATATAATGGGCTACTGCAGCCTTTATTTTACTTAAAACTTTAAAGAGACCAATCTTGCTCTTCAGCTACACCCCTCCCAAAAGTCCTAATGAAAAAGAATTATTTTCAAAAATATATTTCTGATTTTTTTCTAAATTATTTTTTTCAAGCCACCAGTTCCAGGACTAAAACTACGCTGTCAGCCATGTGGGATCCAGACACCTTAACCTCCATGTCACGTATTGGCCCCAGTCTTGTCCTAAATTTTGAGCAATATTTTTTAAAAAAATGTATTGTATGTAGCTTGATCATGCTGCCTACACAATTATCTGTTCTTTGAAGAAGAAAAGAAATACTTCTTTCATTATGTGTATAATAAAAGTCAGTTAATTCCTGTACTTTGTGTCAAAATGGTATGGGTCAGATTATTTACAAAGAGGAGAACTAAGTAACACTCCTTCTGAAGGATGGCATTAACATCCATTTAATCCAACCAGTTGATAATGCAAAGTACAGTTTCTTAGGTCCGTGTGTGCATAGGGTGACAGACATGCTCCTGCATACATGTTAGCTTGTTCCATATGGCTTCCTTATGGTAGTCAGACACTGCACAACCATCACCCTGATGATAACACTTTTGTTTTTCATCTGACTGTTCAATAGGCCAGAAGTAAATTTGAAGAAATATTCCGGCTGCCTCAAAGATATTGAAATTTCAAGAACTCCATACAATATACTCAGTAGCCCTGATTATGTTGGTGTTACCAAAGGATGCTCTCTGGAGGTTGGTCTGTTTTTAATGGCTCCCTAAACACATATGTATCAGATTTTACTTACTTAATGTGGGTGCTCTTACAGTAATGAGTCTTTTGTTAATTTATTTTGTATTTCTCCTAGCCCTATTCCTACCTGTGCATAAATAATAAAGTCAGACCAAAGCATTCTATAAATTAGTATGATGGAAATGGTATTGTGGCCCAATTCCCCACATGCATTATGCTTCAGAGCATGGATGTCTTCATTTATCCCTTTTCTGTTTCTGTTTTCCTTGCCAACTCTGTTTCTCCCTCTTCCTCATTTTTGCTATTTTAAATTATTTTATGGTTATGTATTATACATAGCTTTATTTGCAACTTAAGTTTTCTTCTGGAATGGGTTGAAGTTTACACCAATCCCAAGTAGTCACTTGCACCTTAATCATGAGTGAGTAACATCTAAAGGTTAATTTGAAATATTAAAATTGTCCATTAGCATCTAATTTGAAGGCTAGCCCTCTTGTCATTGAAATAGCATAGACTGAAACCTGTGGAATCCAATTCTGCAAAGACTTGTGCTCGATGATGGCAAAGTTCCTGACCTGCTGATAGCCTCGCTGTCTCTTTATTGCTGCAGCAGCCCCGCAGCCTCTCATTCCACTCAATTATTTTGCACTGATTCTTCTATCAGGACTGACCCCAAAGTGAGAAAGACCCGCATCATAGCTCTGCTCTTTTAAAATATATATTAGCAAGAGCCAATGTTCAAGAGCAAAGATTCATAAGACTTTTATAGGAACCCCATAATAATGAGCTTGTTTTTTTTTTTTAAAAAGAAATATATCATATTTATAAAATTTTGCTGACTCTGTCATGAAATAATTACTCATTTTGGCTGCTTTCTGCATTGTAAAGTATGTTAACACATCTAGATAAAATGCAAAATAGAGAATGATGAAAAAGAGAAAGTAAATCTACCTTCTAAGTGATGAGATTTTAAAATGTGAAGCAGAACTCTTAGGGTTTTCCCTGTTCATGGCTATAGGCTTCAATTTGGAATTGTCTGAAGACATCTATATTGCCTGTATTGTCTATAGACGCTTGGGAATAAGTGAAACAGAAATGTATCAAGACTTAAAATGCTAAGGATCCATACTTCCTCTTAAAGAAAGTTTTACTGAGAGTTTTAATCTTCAAAGCCTAACTCTCATCCACATTCAAAAGTTATAAATATGAGGATGGAAGACTGTCCAGAAAATGAATAGCTTCTATGCATAGAAATGATGATTCTGTAAAGACACTTTTCAGTAACCAGGAATTATTTTGCTATGAAATATGAGGCAGAAATTTGATGTGGATAAATATTGAAAAGTCTGCACAGTAGTTTTATCTGAACTATCTAAAACTCTGTGATTTGAAAATTGGAATAGAAAATAGATGATGCATTTTACCAACTCTTATGTCATTTAACTGAAGACACTGAATAAGAAAAGATCCTACAGTAAAATACTCCTTGTTTTTTCTTTCTAGAAAAATCCAGGACTTTAAAAATGAAAATTTTAAGAACTTTACATCTCAACGATTAATACATGGGCTTGCTTTAAGTAAATGCTAGCATACTTATGCAATGGAATGTCCTCCTTTATTCAAATTGATGATAATTTATGTTTATTGACACATAAATCTCTCTCATATATTTAAGTGAAAAAAGATTAAACAAATAAGCATATCTAATATGGTTCAGTTTAAATACAGAAAGAAAGAATACAAAATTGTCAAAGAGGAATGAATGGCTGAATCAGATTTATGCACTATACAGCTTTGAGATTGGAGTAGGGATATTATCTCCCTTTTGAACTCTGTTACTATTTGAAATATAACCATTTTACTTTTTATAGCAGCAAGTATAATGGTATTATTTTTATTTTCAGAAAACAAACTGTATATATTTGGTGTATTAATTTTAAGGTGTAGTTTTTGACTAATATTTTAAAAATTGTTCTGCAGTGTACTTGTACATTTGATAGCAGTGAACATTCTGTCCTTGAGTTTCTCACTGATGAAAAACGCACAGACCAGGTTCATACTCATCTGTTAAAAAAGAACAATTAATTGGGCCAGGCTCACAGCCTAATGATTATAAGATCTGAATCTCACATGGTCAACTGCTGTTCTAATCCCAGCCTGAGGCTTGAGCAACACTGCAGCTTTGTATGAATGCATGTCCAAAGTCCTGACAAGATGGATAAATGGAGAAGGGATTGTGATATGTCCACATGTGATTTGGGGGTTAGGGGTGCTTTCTCTGTTTCTCTCCCTCTCTCTCTCTCTCTCTCTGTTTCCCTACTGACACATATGCCCTCTGACAATTAAAAAATTAATTGATATCAATTGATAGTGTATTCAAGGGACTAAGTATACTTACTGGTTTTAAGGGAGATTTAGTAAGACAGATTTAAACCAAAATAAAGTTATCAGTGATAATCTTATTTTAAATCAAAAGTCCTAGAAGAAAAGCAGGAGCTACCATTTTGATTTTAACCTAAATTGCTCAGAAGATTCAAAGTTATAACTGGAAATAGTATTTCTTCAACTACTCTTGAACTGTCCATGTAACAGTAGGTTTTTGTTCCTAAAGTAACAGTGTATTAATTACATTGAGTAAATTGAGGAGAGTTAGTGCAATAGAGAAATTAATTTAAATTCTCTTCTCTAATGACCTCTTCTTTCCTTTTACCCACAGAATGTTTACACAGTTAGCTTTCCCAAGCCTGGTTTTGTGGAACTGTCTCCTGTGGCATTTGGTGTAGGGACAGAAATCAATCTGTCCTTCAGCACCAAGAATGAATCGGGGATCATTCTCTTGGGAAGTGGAGGGACACCCATACCACCTAGAAGAAAACGAAGGCAGACTGGACAGGTACCACCAAAGTGGTCAACGGTGCCCATTCCTTATATTTGTATGACATAATTAATTGCTTTTATACTTTGGATTTGCATCACTGATTTCTGGTCTCAATTGGCTATCCAGAACTGAACATTTCATTAGTCCTAGCTGACTTCCTCTCTCATATCATCTTCTTGGACCATTGTCTTCTCTAGAATTTTCCTGTTGGTTAATTCCATGTGCTGAGTCATACTTGTATTGCACCTCTGTATTACCTTGGTATGGCATGTGCATGTATAAAGAGGAAAGCTTAAAATAGATTCAAATTATATTCATCTTTGTCTCTCATTTCTTACCAAATGTGTGGAACATTCAGCTAAGTCCCTTAAATTTTCATTTAAATTCTGTCTAAGGTCAGTATCCCAGTTGCATTACCCGAGATGAGGCCGTTTGTTGGATCCTGACCTGTTTACCCTCTGGACACAGGGAAGGTATTATTGACAGGAAAATATTATAAACATTTGCTATAAAATCAAACACAATGGCCAGTCCCATAACCTGGTGGTTAAGAAAGCTGAATGGCTGACCATGGTTCGAATCTCAGTCCCAGTGACTTGAAAACACTGATTGCAAGTGTGTGTATGTCTAACATCCTTACAGCATGGAGAAATGGAGAAGCAGGAATAGTATGATCGTGCCCCATGAGGGAAACTTTCTCCAAATCCTTCTTTCTCCTTATTCCTCCATTTCTCTCTCTCAGAAGAGCCATGCCCTCTGGTAAAAAAAATAAAATAAAATAAAGTTTAGGGAAAAAATGGCAGTAAATTTATTGTATTGTTAGAAAAGTCATGATGCCTTTTTGCATAGGAAAAACATAGAAAAATATGTCATGACTTTTCCTATGACCTAATAGTATAAAAACAAGTACACAAGTATAATTTAAGAATAAATCTAAAATAATAGACATAAAGCTGATATAGGAAAAATCGTATTATTTTACTGATAGACATTGAAGTAGTCCTCAATAAATAGGAATATTCAGCATGTTAATGGTGATAAAGACTCAATATTAAAAATATGTCAGTTCTCCCTAAAATAACAGGTAGGTTTAATTGCAATTAATATCACCATATCTTTTTGTGAATAATGACAACCTTATTCTAAAGTTTATATCAAAAATGGAAAATCCAAAGAACTGCTAAAATAGAATAAATATTGGCACGTTATAGGACAGAGCTTTATACTGTGGTAGTATAGTGTTAGTTCATGCATAACTCTGTGCCTATGGAACATAATATTCAATAGATAACCCCAAATACATCCAAACACAGAGAGAAATGACATTTGCTAAGAGGTGGCATTGCAGATCATTAAGAGAAGAGTAATTGTTCAGTGAATGATTCCAGAGAAATTCATTATCCCTATGTAAAAAGTGAGTTTCTACTTCACACCAACTGAAAAATAATTTCTCAGAGAACTGTGGAAGGAAAAAGACTTTAAAATTTTTAGCATATAGAAGGATAACTTTTGACCTTGGAGAAGGAAAAGATTTATTGACCAAAACACAATTGTAAATATAACTGCATTAAAACACAAAATATAGGGACCAGCAGTTGGTGTAATGGCAGTGTTGTTGGACTACCATGTAGTTGACTGCGGTTCGCGTCCTGGACCCGGTGGCTTAAAACTCACACTGGGCGCGTGTGTGTGCATGGCCAAGATCCCGAGAGGAGTACGGAGGAGAAGGGATTGGAGCGTGCCCCCCCCCGGGGGGTGATTTCTCGCTTTCTGTCTCTCTGTCTCTCTCTGTCTGTCTGGCAAGCGCACACGCCCTATAGCAAAAACCCTCAAAAAAAAAAAAAACACAAAAATATAAATCCCAGCCTAGAGATTTACAATTCATATAACCTACAAAAAAATTGGTGACCAAAATATCAAAGTAACTCTTACAAACAATAAGAAAAAGATTAAAACTTAAACAACACTGGACAAAAGTCTTGAAAAGTCATTTCTCAGAAAATGACACGTGGATGATTCAAAAGCATATTTTTTAGATGTTCAACCTCATTTGTAATGGGGGAATGCAGCTTTGCATTCGATTTTATATCCACTAGAATGATAAACTATAAATATAATAATACTAAGTATTCCCAAAATATGGATCAAAGGAAACTCTTAATTATTGTTGGTGGGAGGAGTACATTTCTGCAGCCACTTTGGAAAACAATCTGGCATTATCTTGTAATGGCACACTCTATAAGCCAGCAGTTGCACTCCTAGGTGCAGACCCAAAGGTTGGTACATGTGCATAATGAGAAATGTACAAGAATGCTCAGAGCAGCGTTCCTCATAATAGTGAGAAAATGCGAATGCTCATCAGCTGAAGAACAAGTAAACCATGGCATTTCACAGAAAAAGATATTAAGCACTGGTAAAGAGAAATCAATTATAACTAAACATACCATGTAGATGGATAGAAACTAAATAGAAATGAAAAAGGCCTGACATATTGTATGATATCATGTTTATTGTTTCTAATACAAGTAGCACCAAACAACATGTTGTTACAGAGGCATGTGAATTTTCAGAAACGATGTTTAAAAAGCAGCAGAGTGATAAACATAAAATCCACATTAGAGGTTATCTCTGAGATGAAGAAGCAAGGAGAGGAGATTGGGAGGACCTCAAGGGAGATGCATCAGTATTGTTTCTGAAATTGGGTGGTAAATTAACAGATATTTGTTTTATTGTACAGTGTTAATACAGCTTTATCATTTACATTTATGTCATCATATTGTGATGACTGTAACAGAATTATCATAAAAAGATCATTTTTATTTTATCTCTTACTACACATAATAAGCACTGAATAAATACAAAATAAACATTTTCTTCAATTCTTTATCCTTTAATCCTGGCAAAAATAAAATTCTTTTCTCACTGTTACAAATGATATGCTAGTTAAACTCAAAGGACCAGATCAAACATTGCAAAAACGATTTCCTATACAAAATATTTTATTTTGGGGTCGTTAATTAAGCACTACCTAATAGCTCCAAATTTCTCTTCATCAGGACTACATAAATGAACTTGAATCATCAACTTTAGCCTTCTGGATGATTCTTAAAATAGAATACGTTCTGGGGGCCAACAGGTGGCATGGCTGATAAGGTGCCAGACTCCCACATGCCCAAACATGATTCAAGTCCTGGATCTGGCAGCTTGAAAATAATGCCAAGTACATGTGCGTGAGTGCTCAAAATCCTGAGAGGGAAATGGAAGAGAAGGGATTGTGGCATGGTTACCCCCCCTGGGGGTGATTTCTGACTTTCCCTCTTTTCCTCTTTCTCCCTGTCTCTCTCCAGCAAGCACATGCACTCTTTAGCAAAACTTTAAAAAATAAAATAAAATAAAATAAAATAAAATAAAATAAAATAAAATAAAATAAAAGCAGAGAAAAAAAAAGCACGTTCCTATTAAAATAAGAAAATAATAAGGACTACAGTACAAAGTAAATTTGAAATGTTTTAATGACAATGAGTATCTAGTTTCTAAAATCTCATAATGAATACCATCTGAAAAAGAAAACTGTAAACTACCTCATGGTTGTTAAAAAATCAGTCCTGGTTAAATGGACATATTGTATATTTTAAAGTTCACAGTCTTGATACCTATAGGGTTCTTTGATTGGGTTCTGCTAGGTAGGTTTGAAATATCAAACACTCAATCAGCTAAAATAGTTTTTTACTCAGTGAGTAGTTTGCAGTTACAGACTTTGACAATGAGCACTAATCCAGATGCATAGAACACGTGTGATGGACACATAGCTGCATAGATGATTCAGTGGATAATGATGATGTTGATCAAACCGTCTCCACCAGCATGGATGCCTTGTGGAGAACCACATGATCACATGCCGCTGGAGCTGTGGTGCCCCACAAGCAAGAGAGCACATGAAGCTTCAGCTCTGGGAGAACTGCATTCAAGCTCTGGGGGGTTCTTTATCGAATATCAAAACCATCCTGGTTGCTATAGTAACAGGAGCAAGAAGAAAGCAGGCATGTTTGTGGATGAAAAATTGTTCTCCTTTCTAAATGTGGGAGACAAGTTACGTTTGTGATAGCAATCTATTCCACCAGCTCAGAGAGCAAACTGAAGTCTAAACACTCAATAGGCCATAAGGTTGAGAGACCTAATTTCCAGAAGCTTCCTGTCCACTTGTGACTATAAGGGAGTAGGACTTTTTGGTGCCCTTTGTTTCCTGGTGGGTTTTGTAAGTCAGAGGACCTAGGCACGCACAGCTATTCTTTTCAGTATTGCATATCTGCTTTGCAGAGAATTGCTATGTTACCTCATCCACTTTCCACATCATCTAACGAGCAAAATCAGTAAATGATGTAAAAGATATTTCCAGCTGCTTTAAGAAAATATTGAGTCTTGGAACCAGAAGATAGCTTAATGGTTATGTCACTAAACTCCCACATGGTTGACCCAGGTTCAAGTCCTGGACCTGGCGGCTTAAAGCTCATGCCGGATATATGTGTGCATGCATGCCCAAAATCCCCAGAGAATAGAGGAGAAGGGATTGCGGTGTGGCCATACCCCCCGGGGGTTGATTTCTTGCTTTCTGTCTGTCTCTCCAGTGAGTACACCACAACAGCCTTCTCTTCAGTTACTCACATTTGCCGGGACGTAAACTACAGATGGGTAATTCGCTACCTTCATGCCAACGGTGCATCCATATTCTTTGCATGCCTATTCCTCCACATAGGACGAGGACTGTACTATGGCTCATACACTTACCTTGAAACATGAAACATAGGAGTAATCTTACTTTTCGCTACTATAGCAACAGCATTCATAGGATATGTTCTCCCATGAGGGCAAATATCCTTCTGAGGAGCCACAGTAATTACCAACCTTCTATCAGCTATCCTATACATCGGCACAGATCTAGTGGAATGAATTTGAGGCGGATTTTCTGTAGACAAAGCTACCCTAACCCGATTCTTTGCCTTTCCCTTCATCCTTCCATTTATTATCACAGCACTGGTCATCGTACACCTCCTCTTCCTACACGAAACAGGGTCTAACAACCTGCTAGGAATTGACTCAGACGCAGCCAAAATTCCATTACACACATCCTATAACAATAATCTCTCAAATAGACAGAAAGAAAGAAAATAGTGAGTCTTGGTGGGAATGTAAACTAGTTCAACCGCTGTGGAGAACAATATGGAGGTTCCTCAAAGATCTACAAATAGAACTACCATTTGATCCAGCAATCCCACTTCTGGGGATTTACCCAAAAGACAGGAGAACGCTCAGTCAGAAAAGTGCTTGCACATCCATGTTTATTGCAGCATTATTCACAATTGCCAAGACATGGAACCAACCTAAATGTCCACAAACAGATGAATGGATTGAAAAATTGTGGCACATGGAATACTACCCAGCCATAAAAAACAACAAGACGTTGGGATTTAATAAAAAGTGGTCGAATATGGAGGATCTATTGCTGAGTGAAGCAAGCCAGGACATAAAAGATATTGTATGTATCCACTTAATATATACTGACTATCTGCACTCTATGGTAGATGGTAGAAAACAAAATATTGGGCTTATTAACTGTTGATGATGACATGTATAGTATTCTCAACTGGATTGGTCTGAGAAGTATTTCATGATGGGCAAAGTATTTTTACAAGCAAAATGAGAAATAGCAATTGACTGTTTTAAAAAATAATTAGAATAATAAAAATAATGATTGGGGAAAACAGAAAAGATATTGAATGTTGAAGTGGGGAGATTAATGTCTCTGTACTGATGGACATGCATGGCATTCCCTTTTGAAAAAACAATGTAATACACTGTAAAGTTATATGTAATCCAATGTAATATAAAGAAGATTATGATGATGATAATAAAAAAAGAAAAAAAAAAAAGAAAATAGTGAGTCTTAACTTCTCAGGTAAGATCACAGAGCAGATGAATCTGTGACCTGTCAAAGAATCTGTAAAACTAAGCCATAGATGTGACTCCTGTTTAATCTTTATTAACCATGTGCATTGCAGGCCTATTACGCCATATTCCTCAACAAGGGCCGTCTGGAAGTGCATCTCTCCACAGGGGCACGAACAATGAGAAAAATTGTTGTCAGACCAGAGCCCGGTCTGTTTCATGATGGGAGAGAACATTCTGTTCATGTAGAGAGAACAAAAAGGTAACAATAGCACTGGAGTACTGATTGTTTGATTGTTGGAACTGACAGGAACTTCCTTTGTCAACTTCAATCCCTGCTTGAACCTCTGTATATGTGGCCACACCATGGGCCTTCAGAAGCTATTGGAAAAATTAAAAAGTATAAATGTGTTTTGGTGGCAAAACAAAAGTTGAAATCCATTCATAGTGGGTTTTATATATGTGTGTATATATATATATATATAAAATCTACATTTTCTGTGAACTTCCAAAGACCCCCACATACTCTGCATTACTAAATGGTAAAGTAGCTTCATTTTCTTTTCTTTCCATCTTATATTTCAGGAACATCATTTACATGGGCTTGTAGGAGTTCTGCTCTTAACATTTTTATTCTGTGCAGTTCTCCTCTCTACCTTTGGAAAACCCAAATGCATCTTCTGAAGCTAGAGATAAGAAAACCCCCTTGCTCTGCACTTCTCAAATATTCTCTTCCTCAAATAAAGTATGCACATAGTGAAACACACAGAATAGCTGGGCTAAAGCTGGCAGCCTTTGGCAGTTGCCATTTCATTCAAATTCCAAAGCAGTTAGGGCAGCTGCTTAGAAACTGGTCACAGATACAGAGCATGGTGGCAACATCAGGTGTACTGAGCCTGTTATGGACACACCTCATCCCTCCCCACTGCACCCAGGTGGACAAGGTCTCTGCAGAGCGACTTCCTAAAGGAGCAGAGTCCAGTCAGAGAAGACAAATAGTTGTGACCCAGTGATCAGTTCTGAGGGCCACCGCTCTACTGATCCACAGGAGCACTTTCCCCTCGAGCCCTGAGCCAGGGAATTGCCCTTAATTGGGCACAAACTGATCTTATTTCTTCAGAATGCTGCGGAACTTTATACTGACTCTATGGGGAAAATCATCTGTATTTTTCACTGAAACACTGTATGACAAGTTGGAAAGGTAATTAGTTTAGAAGGTCAATTAGACAAAAAGAAAACAGAAACCCAGAGACTTTGGGGGCCTCCAATCTCCAAACCAGCAATCCGTTTATTAGACTGAAGATAAAGAAAAGAACTGAAAATCAAATCCGATGAAATCTCAAAACACAGAGAATACTTCTAAATGTAAGAAGAATATGAATGTATAGCAATTGTTCAAGGAAGCAGATGCTATTCTATAAAGACCTACATTTCCTAATTATCTTTTTGTGTGCATAACAGTTTAGATAAGTAGTAAGGATTTCTTCTCTTCTAAGTAAAATTTAAGCTTTCCTCAGCTCATTTTTTAAATGATTATTATGTAGAATACTAGGTGGTGGGCTGAATTCATACTAAGCATTCACACAGACTGCCTACTAATGGAGATGTTTAGAAACCATGATTAAGACAAATGAGGGATCAATATTTGAGCAAACTAAGAGCTTTTCCTAATAGAATAGCCAGATATTATAGTCAAGGTCTCGGGGGAAATGCAAACTTAATTTCTTCATTTGATTCTTACTTTCTCATTTGAATACTTTAGAATGCTGATTTTATATGTCTTCAAGACCAGATTTTAGGCCCTTTGCCAAACTTTAATCCTTCTCATTGTGAGAAGGGACTTTTCAGAAGTCTAAACTTTAAAGAATTTCAGAAATAAAATGCAGATTTGAGAAGTAAAGCTGACCAAAAACCACCCCAAATATGTTATTTTGTAGAAAAAGAATAATGAAATTCCCAAATGCATTACAGTGTACCATGATGTCCTTTTAACAGGTGTTTCTTCAAGAAAGGCATTTTATTATGCCAACTTCACAGCTGTTGACCATCAATCCAACCTTTATTTGATTAAGCTGAGTGTATAGTACATTACTGAAAACTGGTCATTCAGTTAATTGGCCATATAAACAAACAGTTTTGCCATTCACTGTTAATTACAAGATAATATATTGTACATATTAGTGTGTAGTCACTGAACTCTGTGCCAATACACGAACATATTTGCAACGATAGTACTTATCCCACATTGTAAGGTCAAAATCCAATGATTGCTCTCCTATAAGTAAGCACTACATTAAACTAATTAACCAGACATTGCTAATGGCCCTAAGAACTTCACCCAGAAACATTTTTATTTTAAATTGTCAGAGGGTGCATGTGCTTTAGAGAGAGAGATGGTGTGATGGAGAGAGGGAGATAGAACCCCCAGTGGGACATGACCATGCTGTAATCTTTTTGCCTCCATTTCTCCGTTGAGATTTTGAGCACACATGCCCATGTCCAATGTGCTTTGCAAGCCACAGTAACTGGGATTTAAAGCACAGTCAGTCTTATGGGATGTGACTTTCTTAACCACACCATCCTCAAAAACATTTTAAACACTCCATATACCTAATCTATGGCATGCTCTGTGTCAAATACTAGACATGATTAAGTCTTAATCATTATTAATGTATGTGAGATTGGTATTAATAGCCTTCATCAAAAAAATGAGTAAATATGAACTTATCCAAATCCCATATTATAAATAGCAGAGATAGGTCTGAAATCCAAATATATTTGGCTTAAATAACTTCCATCTATGCTTGGCCAACTATTTAGCCTTACCCTTTTTTATAATCGTAAATATTTATATTATATCATGTTGATTATGATATACTAATTTTGAAATATTTATTTTCTTCTAACACTTTTCTGGCTATAAATATCAACCATCATTTCTTTTCCTAAAACCTTGGATAAGATGGTTAACTTTAATAACACCTTGCAAAATTACTGGATTTTTATCAAATTGAGGGATAGTATCCTCAAGGTTGTCTTCCTTCCGCCCCTCTGACTCTTAATACCCCTCCTTTTATTCGCTCTCCTTTTCTACTCATCCTCTGGAAAAATCCCACTTCGGTCACTTTGGTATCTAATTCCTGGATGTTTTAATGACTCCTGCCTTTTGTTTTTTAGAATTATTTCATTTCAGTTAAATTTATTTATTTATTTATTTTAATTTGACCAGAGACAGAGGGAAGGTAAGAAAGTAAGCCACCAGGTCCAGGGTCTGAACATTCATTGGCCATGTGGGAGTCCAGTGCTTCAACCACCACCCCACCTGCCATCCCCCACATCCTTCCATTTAGTAAAAAATCTTGCCAGACAGCACTCACCAGAGAGAGAGAGAGAGAGTAAGAGAGATAGGTCCCCAATTGGACTTGATCACACTATAATTCCTTCTCCTCCACTTCTCCATCTGTCAGGATTTAGGGCACATATGCACATGTGCTCAGCATGTTTACCAAGCTGCCTGAGCCAGAATTTGAACTCCATGGTTGACTATGTGGGATCTGGCTTTCTTAACTACCACTCCATAGAGTGGCATTCCCTGCCTTCCGTATCTGATTTGCCTTCTGATCCCTGTCCTGGAGTGAACCTCAGTGGCCAGCCATGCTAACTAAACAAGCACATTAATGTCTAAGAGCCTGAAATAGCTGCACAGGCAATAGGTTAAAAGAAAATAGAGTTGGATTTCTTTTCTGTGAGAGCATTCTTCACATAGATACAGAATTAGACTAAAGACCACAACATTAGAGCCTATATTTTGGGAGTTATTTGGGATTTCCAGAGGAGTTCATGATTTGGATATTGCAACCCAAATATTTTCTTTCTTACCATTCAAAATATATACAGTCAAAAAATTAGAGATCCTGTCATGGTGGCACAGCAGTAGCAAAACCCTCTGCAATGCTGGAAGCCATATGGAGAATTGGGGTTAGGTTCCCAGGTCAAGCCATACGTGGCGGGAGTGCCTTGCTGGATAAAAGCCTGGGAGAGGAGTCAGGACAGAACCGTGGATCATAGCATGAAACCCTGTTGAGGGCGCTTATGTTCATAGCTTTGTGTGTGTGTGTGTGTGTGTGTGTGTGTGTGTGTAGGGTTGTATCTCAGGTTGGAAAGAAAGAAAGAAACTTTTAAAATACTTTTCATATTTTCTTCCTTAAAAATTTCAAAAGTTTTCTATTTTCATGTAACTTACAAACATCAAGGCATTTCTTTTCATATATTCTTCCTCATATACAATCTAATTGTTATTGACTTGAAAAAATTCTTAAAAAAATTCCAAACAAACAAGAAATAGGACATAAATAATAAAATATTTACTATGAATCTGTAAGAAGCAACCATTTAATTGTGAATAAATAGATCCAGCTGACCGGTCACAATACTAATAGCGATGTAATACAATACAGTGTTTTGAACACAGCAGGCTCTCCTTGAAAAGTTGTTGAATACTTTCGAAATGGAAAATACAACATAATTTTAATGGTCAAGTTGATAATATCATTCCTACAAAATAACTAAATAAATTAACTAAAATCAACACTCCTAGAAAGCAAAATACATGTAGGATCTGCAGTCTTCCAGCAATGCCCTTCTTAAGTAATACAGCCTCAGGGCAATTCCATAATTAATATTTTCCACCATTTGAAGTAGGTATTTTTAACTCCACTTTATAAATGAATGAAATGAAACTGTGCATGATTAAATACCTTGCCCAAGGTCACCCAGCTAGTAAGTTTCTACACTAGTGTTTAATTCTAGTCTGTTCCTTCTGAAAGCCATGTTCAGTCTATCAATATATCACCATCCTATGATCTAGTGAAAAGGACCACTGTGTGGCCCTTGAGGCAGAACTAGAGTAAAGAGAATCTACACCAGAAAGAGGAGCGCCTCTGGCTCTCCAAAAATTCTAATGATAAGCAGAGGTGTAGCCTCCTTCAACAATTTTTATTAACACTTGGGAGCCCTATTGCATCATGTTAGTAAGACGCTGATTTTAGCTAAAGGTGAAAAAAGTGGGTGGGAGGGGGACTCTCAGTGAGTCACACTTACCCACAAGTGAGGAGTTTTCTAAAAGTCTCATAAAACCACCGACTCTTAGCAATAAATGAAGTTGAGCCTCCTGATTTTCACTAGCACATTCTTTCAAAGTCTGGTGTTTAATTTAAAAATGTCACTTCCCCTATTTTCCCTTTGAAACTCAGTCTGGCCTGTCTTCTTGAATGGTGACACTTTGAGTCATAGCGAAATCCATCTTTTGTTCCAGTGTCTTACTTTTGAATTGTACCAAAGTGAACCAATTACTCTGTGCCAATTCAGAGCATCTTGGCCCTGGTTTATTGTTTCCAGTGCTACATGTGGTTATTTTTTTCTTTTTTTTTTAATATAAAATCAAGTAAAATTACACTTTAAGACTGAGTTTTTCATCTAAGTACTTCGGTTCCCTCCCCAGATATGACGTAAATTTTCAGTAATCCGCTCATGATCCTCAGGCTAGTAAGTAATACTTATGACTAATGGCACCATCATGACTACTGGGACTGAAGCTCAAAACCTGCTTCTAGAACAAAAGAGAAAATGCCTTTGGTCTTTGACACATCAGAACTCTTTGTCTCTTTCTGTTTCTGTGCCTCCAGATCCAAGGATTGTTGTGAATAAGTAGCACGAGGTTCTCAATTAGTAGCATGTGAATTATCGCTCATAAGCAAATTAGGGAAATTAATGAAACAGCCACTAAGGAAAATCATCGCAAGGAACAATTAGCATAGAGTTCTTGCCTGCCTTTTAAAAGCCAGCAGCTACATTCTTTACAAAACATACTGTAAGTGTTTGCTGTTGATTCCTGCAATCTAAGCTCTCAAGAGTATAGTTTGTCCCCTAGCAAGAAGATAATAGCTAGCACAAACCAAGAAATAAAGAGCCAAACAAAAACGTGACCCCTTGCTGTGCTAAACCCACCGATCCTTAACCGATTAGACACTACTACACAGTGCTAAAGCCTTGGTTCTCACGGGCTCTTGTTTTGGGCCACAGACCACCAGAGGCTAAAGTTTCAGCTACACCATTGCCTGGTTTCAGTAAACTTTCAGAGAGAATTAACGAGGGAGGTATGGGACAAGATGCTAAGAAATAATAACATTTGCTTAGTGTAGAATTCCTAATCATCTCATTTTGTCTCACTTAAAAACTGCAGGAGTGAGGGATGGCAGAAAAGAGATTGATTTCCAACTGTATTGAATGTTGTGTGATTTACACTTGTTTATTTTAAATGTTTTATCAGCATCTTTACTGTTCAAGTTGATGAAGACAGAAGGCATATGCAAAACCTGACAGCAGAACAGGCTATCGAAGTTAAAAAGCTTTTCGTTGGGGGTGCACCACCTGAATTTCAACCTTCCCCACTCAGAAATATTCCTCCTTTTGAAGGCTGTATATGGAATCTTGTTATTAACTCTGTGTAAGTGAATCTCCTTGCTTTATTCTTTCATTCATTCATTCGGTATGAGGAGCACTATTGCATCTACACTATCCAAAGTCATGAGGGAAAGGAAGCAATGAAAATCTTCAAGTTAAATTTAGAAAACTGCACTGATGCCCTTAAAGGGGGAGTTGGGGGGGGGGCTGATTTAATTGGAAAGAATCAAGTCAATGGAAAATAAGAAAATATATTGCATTTTAATTATATTTTCCTAGCCCCATGGACTTTGCACGGCCTGTATCCTTCAAAAATGCAGATATTGGGCGCTGTGCTCTTCAGAAACCTCGTGAAGAGGAAGATGGAGCAGTTCCCCCTGCAACAGTCACTCAGCCTGTGCCAGTTCCCATCTCAACCTTGCCTGCACCCACCCCAGTTCTGGTGCATGTAAGTGTTTATATCCTCATTGCTTTCTAACTTTTACACAGTATTTTAAGTTCTTTTCAGAAGGAAGGTTATGCAGGAGAGCTAGTACACTCTATTACTAAAATGGGAAGAAAAACCTAGTCTCTTCACATCTTTTTTGTATTATCTTTTTCTTTGTGCGTGTTCTCCTTTACTTTTTGTGTTTATCAAGTAGTATGTTTTAAGTTAAAATACAATTTTGAAAACACAGACATCTTGAGAATTGAGGATAACAGAATAAAGACTAAAAGCAACCTGATTTTCAGTCTTTTATATTTGCATTTTACATTGTAACTATCGTATACATAGGCAATTTGGCATTGTGATTTTCAAACCTAACAATATATAATTAAAACTTTCTAAACATTGGGTAACTATATGTCTAATATGATTTTATATTATGTATAGCACACATATACAGAGACACCCAAAATATTTCCTAGCATGGGAGGTGGTATTTCCTTGAATAGATTCAGACTGCCTGTGTTCAAATCCCATGACTGAAGCCTACCATCTGTGTGAATTTAGAAGAGCTACTTAGTCTATTCCTCACCTGTAAAATGCAGTTATCAACAGCACATTCATCAAAGAGTGTCATCAGAATGCTAAGAGATAGTGTTTGCTAGATGCCTGGCATATACTAAATATTTAACAAATGCCATAATGACTATATAGTAATACTAGTAAGTACTGCTTTCAAGTGCTAGGTGTCAGCCATTGGCTAAACAATTTCCATCCAACATGATACATAATTCTCAAAACAGCTCTGTAAAATATAGTCATGCCATTTTTAGTTGAGGTGATCAGAATTAGCTAGTTTAAGTGAATAATCTACTCACACAGCTGGTAAACCCAGGTGTAGGAATTTTAATCCAATGAGTCTGAATCCAAAGTCTGGCTTCTTACCTCTGCACCATCCCTCCTTTGCAATTTGTTCTACTTGTAATAGCCCACTTTGGGCTAGAGTGTTCCTAATTATTCACTATTAGAAACTACTTTGATAAGCACCTCTGTGCATCTAATTTTTTATCATTTCTAATTATTTTCTTAGAATAAATTTGTAGACAGGATATTAGGCCAAAGGATAAATATGGTTCTCGATACATTATCTGTGCTGCCTTTTTTTTTCCCAGATTTTTGCAAGTCATTCATAATTTTTGATAAATAATGTCATTTTCTGAAAAATAAGTTGTTGGTGGCCTAGACACTACTTTATCCCCACTAAGAGTGAAGTGCAACATTTTGACTATACTCATACCTATTTATGGGGTGAACTGGTCTTTCCCACAGATATTTATTTGTGTCTTTGAATGGCCGACCATAGAATTCCTGCTTCAGTAGAAGAGACTGTAACTATGCATCTACTTGTGTATTTTATTCTTAACCTAGTGACTTGCCTTGTTGATATATTTTTAATATAGTTTTATATTTATTTATAGTTTGCTTTAAAAACCAATTTGTCCTTATACTATTTTTTTATTTTTTTAATTTTTTAATTTTTTCTTTTTTTAATTTTTAAAAATTATTTTTTAGTATTTATTATTTTTATACATTCAGTCATTATACATCATTTAGTTTGTAAAGAGAGTCTAGCTGACATGATATAT